AAGAGACCAGGGTTATCTACAACCCTAATCAGCCGAAGACTTCCATCATTCCAACGAAATCCCAAGAAATGCCACGGATTTCCTCATAGCTGTAGCGCCGTTTGTAAACATACCATCCATGAATGCCACTTGAGGACCGTGTTGATCCATAAGCGTCCAGTTCAATCACAGCGCATCGTAATGTGACCAGTCCTCCATCTCCATTCTCTTCTTTCGAACATACGCCCCGATCGCCGTCGTCGTATTCTAATCTTGGTCGGCAAAGTTCCTAGATGGAGCTCTATAGTCCTGGATCCTATAGCAATCCCAAAGACAGTGACGTCTGATCGTCGGATATCGACACTAGAATCGCTTAAGTCGACTTTGGTGACAATTCAGCGCTGATTGCTTTCAGCTCTGTCATCACTGATTCCTTAGATTCGAAGCAGCTAACGAACGATGTCGATATCTCACTAGAGATTTCAACCTATACTTGCGGCTTGGTGAATTGTACGGTGGCCAGCTGACCACACGGGGTCGTATTCGATCCAATGGACCTCCTGACTTGCGCCCCGATGGCCGTCGTCATGTTCTAATCGTAGTCGGCAGAGACCTCAATGGAGCTCCGTGACCATAAAACCTATACCGATCCTCAAAGATGGTAACGTCTGACCGTCGAATTCGACACCGAAATCGTTCGGGTCGACTATGGTGGCGATTCAGCGCTGATCGCCTCCACTTGACATCGTACTGAAAATTCATCCTATACTCGTGGATTGGTGAATGTCACGGTCGCCAGCTGATCACACGGGGTCGTATTCGATCCGATAAACCTCTTGATTTGCGCCTCCATCGCAGTCCTCGTATTCTAGTCAAAGTCGGCAGGTCCATCGGTGGAGCTGCGTGATCCTAAGTCTTTATACCGATCCTCTGTGTGACGTCTGACCGTCGAATATCCCATTAGATATCGTAATGGAGATTTCAACCTATACTCGCGGTTTGGTGAATGGTACGGTGGCCAGCTGAGCACGAACGGGGTCGTATTCGATCCCACTGAATCTCTGACGAGACCCATGCTAATGCGCTGAACGTTGTGACTCGTCTACGAACGACACAATCATCAAACGAACAAACGACCAGCCAGTATTTTATCTGTTGAGCAATCACTTAGAAAACTGGTTTTCCACTGGAATCATCACCATTCCATTTTTCAGTCACTGAAAGGAAGACGGCTCAGAACGGGATACGGGATTTGAAAGCTATAAAAAAGGTGTTAAGAGGGCTATAGATACTCGTCTATGTACAGGCCCAATTACACACTAGGATTGTAAAGAGTTAAGGATTCGCTTTCTTCCATTAAAAGTAGAGGATTACAATTGTTTTGGAGTGTGGATGACTACGCAGTCCGTGAGAAAACAGAGCCTCTGGTTGATCGCTGTGTTGTCGCTTTGTTTGCTACTCTTAGCTAGCTTTCAGCTATAAGCCTCAGCTGTGAAGGCAAAAAATATTGGAATATATTGGGAGAAAAGAAGAGAAATTGAAAGGACAATCGTGAAGAGATATATCCGATAAGATTTGATGGGTACTTATACGTTACACGGCTTTAATGAATATTCGACGTTATTCGTAGATCAAGAATTTTTCCACAGGAAGCGTTAGAAATCATTTTTGAAAGCTTGAATCTCAGGGCCCAGCGCGATACGTGACCAGGTTCTTTTCGAAACACCCTTTTATAAACACTCTAAAATAAAAATAAATATGTGTCTCACACGAGCACCCGTCTTTTTTTTAGCCTCACTTAAACTTCGCTGGAGAAAACTCCTTCCTTGAGTGCTAGTACTCTTTCTATAGCACAAGTTTCGAGAACTCAGAAATGTACTGCTCTTGGGAGAGCTCTTTTCATAGCGCTGTAGGAGAAAGAAGAATTGTTGCCTTACATCTCGACGAACAGAGCTTTTTCCTTAGACTACTAGAAATCAATCGATAGCGTAGGTTTCAAACGATTCCAACGGCTGTGCTTCTTTCTGGAAAGACCGTTCCACTGCAGTGCGTCACGGAAAAGAAGATCGAGTCACACATATTCGGTAAGCTTGTTAACCGGCTAATCGACGCGTTAGGGCATTGGGCGATCGATCGATGCTCTGAAGCGTGAAACATGTGAGGTGTAACTTGGTTTCAAGTGGGAATTCTCTTTCTCCGCTTTGATAAAAACTCCTATAAAACGATTGACTTAGATACTACAAGATTCTCCCTAGACGTTCATATGTTCATCGTGCTTCTCGCGGAATATCACCTGTCGTCCCGTCTGATCGTCGAGTGACTCGAGCGGGTACCAGCAACTCTTCCATTTTTCCCTATCGCGTGCAAGAGTAGCCCAGTGGGTCCTCCTCGCTCTAGGAATTCGCTGAGCATCATATCTTTCTTCCATCGCTTTCGTGAAGAAATCGGACCAACGGGTCAGTGGTCTTCCTTTAGAGCGCTTGACGTCCCGAGGAATCCAGTCGGTAACGGCTCTCGTCCATCGGTTGTCGTTGAAGCGCATCACGTGTCCGGCCCACCTTATTTTCGATATCCTGGCGTGTAGAACGGCGTCTCTGATTTTCGATCGTTGACGTAGGTCGGAACGTTCGGATCCTTTGTCTCATTTGCGAGATACGGGATACTCCTAGCATCGACCTTTCGACTGCGCGTTCGATAACGGCAAGTGATCTTTCATCCGCTTACGTAGCGACCAGGTTTCTGCTGCATACGTTAGGGCAGGGATAATTGTCGAGTCGAAAAGGTGGGCACGGAGTCGGATGTTCTTTGTCCTCTTCACTACATCTTCGATGCTCTTAAACGTTCCCCAAGCCGCTCGTTTCCTCCTGCTCAACTCTGGAGCTAGGTCGTTCATCATGTTGATTTCACGACCTAGATAGACGTAACTGGAGACATTCGGAGATTGTCGTTCCGTTGAGCGTGAATGGGGCATTCTAAACCCATCCGTTCCTCATGAACATCGTTTTCGTTAGATTCAGATTATAAGTCGATTACATGCGTGGGAGGGAGTGAAACGTAATTTTTCTTCGAATGCTACAGCATTATAAAAGTGTGTTTTCAAAAAACGACTACGTGCAGGTGTAACCGGAGATTTAAGCTTTCGAATGTTCACTAACACTCCTATGAAAACTTCTAGCCCAGCGAGTGGAGATCGTTTTTTCATTTGCTTCCGGATAACGGAAAAGAACCATATACATACACATACAAAAGGATAAAGCTCTCGGCGTTGATCAATCCCTGAAGGATGCGCCATGCATTCGACTTCAATTTTTAACTTCGTTTGAGGTGATTGAATGCATATCTGGCCTTTACAATGACTCGCGGTGGCCTCCCGCTGAACCGAGTCAGTGCTGCTTATCCTCCCAGACAAGTCTGAGACTTGTCCGGAACCAATTTACCGACCCCGGTGGGATGGATGGCTTGGTGAGCCACGAGCGCGAGATCGAAACCATTGACCTCGTGTGCGACAGGGCACCTCTAACCACTGCGCCATATGCGCTCATTCATGCATGTATGTCAAACATATATATATGCATATGTTTATATGCATACATATGCGTATATGCATGTATATATTTGTAAAAGTGTTGAACACTAGATGCTCCTGGGAAATAATTTTCATCCAATCACTTCTCGTTGGCGACAAAAAGATTTGATGGCTGCCGCGTGGAACACCTTTTTTTGTGGTGGTCCACTTTGGTATAGAGAAGTTGTTTACTAAATGTTTTTATGGTCATTAGATAGCTTTCTTGTAAATGTAAAGCTCCAACTGTACATTCTCTCTCAATAGCTTATTTTTACACGTATTATCAACAACTTTTCTTCACAAAACACCTCGTTACAAGGACAAAATCCCTGGCTCTGTATTGATCAGAATGCGCAGCATTCATAGCTAAAGTCAATCACACATCAAAGGAAGCCGAGTGGTATGCAAAACCACTGAGTCTTAGGCAGGAGTTGAACCGGCTTCTCACTAATCCCGGAGCGCATCCTCCCACTACCACTACGCCATGAAGCCACCGCTCCTGCCATTATTTCATCCGCTCAATTATTGTAGAATTCACACCGATGTAATCTCGCAAAGATATCACTTATAAGGCGTTTTATTTGGTAATAAATATATACAGAATATTAGGAAAAAAACCAGTATAAATACCTCCCATTATAAACCAAACAATCCCAAAAAAACGACTATTTTGGCTCAAGAAATCACGTTACATTCCAATATAATGAAGCACTCCTGCACCGATCAATAAATCAATAATTTACAAAAGTCGATATTGCAAGAAGAGCAAGGACAACTTATTTATTACAATCACTTTCCACCTCAGAGGATTCGCCACGGGGTGTTAAGGGGAGTATCCAAACAAGTAAGGACCACGAAAAAAGACGATAAACAAAGCATAAAAGTGCCAGAGACGATATATCACAAGAAAACAATATGGGCCAAGACATATAGGCCTATAGGGCCACAAAGGCCTATCCATGGGCCAATGAATCAGTCAACTGATAGCCCATATCACAAGAAATCAAAGTAGGCCAAGACATATGGGCCCGTGGGCCCACAGAGGCCTGACTGACGGCCCAATGGATCGGTCGACTGATAGCACATATCACAAGAAATCAAAAGTAGGCCATGACATGTAGGGCCTGTGGGCCCATGAGGGCCTGATCGACTGACTAATCGAGTCAGCTGATGGCACTGGATACCAGAGGCCGACGGGAAAGGCAGTGGTCAGAGACGCAGAGTGCGCCACTCTATGAGTCAGCCATGCCCTAACCGGTCGGGCGGGCGCTTGGGCCGCTGAGTAAATACCGTCGCCACATAAGAGAACTCGGAGGAGTTGACCCATCACGATGTGGGTGACCCGGTGGGGTAGAAATGTCAAAACCTCTAGCCAAGATGCGAGTATTTTTGGATAGATCCCGATGCCAGTAATCGGATGGTACTATTGTAGAGTTTCCGAGGAAGCCGAGTGATATGCAAAATCCGAGCGGGAATTGAACACGCGTTCTGTCTATACCAGGGACCGTGCTAACCACTACACTATCGACGTTCTGGCTCCGCCATCACCTTATCGACCAGTCATCTCGGATCGGTACTGCGTTAATGAATACCACGACGTTGGAAGATACACGTCATAGAAACCATAGTTAGTAAAACAGTGACCTGGCAGATGTAGTGGTAGCACGCGTCTCCAGGATGAGTGAAATGCGGGTTCAACTCCCGCGTGGGTCGGAATTTTTGCACATATCACTCAGCATCCTTGGGTGATAGAAATATCTATAAACTAGTGATACAGACTAATTCATGTTAAAAAAAAAAACAAATTATGTGGGTATGAACCGTTAAATATCGAGGAGAACCGGGTCAAATGAAGGTACAGAGTGGATAAAAGCGCAAAACTAAGGAGAATATTTGCACGAGAATGGCTGGGCTAATGTTTATCCCCATCTTTTCCATCGTTCTCAACGTTGTGCATCTTGTTGAGCTCAAGGAGACGTCGCTCGATTTGAAAGACGTGATCATCGGGAACATGAGGAGCCTAGAACAATCATCCAAAGTTCTAAACACTCCAATAAAGCAAGGTGACATTTACACCTGTAAACAATAATTATAGGAGTATTTAAGCCACATGCATGCTCAAACAGGCAATTGAAGCTTTTGAAAACAAGAAAGAAAAAAGGTTCTCAAATAATAATGATAGGATCTATTGAAATTTGAGCGTGGCCTTAAAAGAGCACTCGAAATAAAGGTATAATATGTTAAAAATACCAGCCAAAGAGCAATCGAGTGCGCAAACGCTCTGTGTTAAGTGAGAATTTCACTTGACATAGAGTGTAAAACGTTCGTCTTCGATGACTCTCTGTAAGGGAGTAGAGCTCCCGAGAGAACTGACTAATAAAAAGATCGAAAGACGATGGGTTCTGCCCGACTGACGAGTCTGTAAGGACGAAACACGTGTATCGGGGGCTGTACAAGAGCCCTTACCGAACCACATGACAGGTTGGCTCAAATAATAATGAAAGGATCCATTAAAAAAGGTTCTATTCAGTTATGACGGTACAAATGAAAAAACCGACCTCATTCACTGGAGAAGAACTTTTCATAGGAGTGTTAGTAACCATTCGAAAACTGAGACTTTAGATTACATTCTCACGTCGCCAGGTTTTTGAAAAGCTCTTTTTGACGCTGTTACAGGAGGAGATTTCTTGCGTTGCAGACGCGCATATTGCTCGATGGACAGAGCTCTTTATTTGGACTATTAGCTATCATTGCATAGCGTATGCTCCATTAATTTTAACGCTGTGCTTATTTTCCGGAAAAGACCATCTCACTGCAGTGTAGAGTAAGAATAAGATTGGGCTCCTCATACTCGGTTACCTTGTTTACCGGCTAATCCACGCGTTAGAGGGTGGGGCGATCAATCAATGGCCTGAAGTGTTAGACATGTGGGATGCAAGTTGTTATTCAATTGGAAATTTTTCCTCTGCTTTCAAAGAAACTCCAGATAAAACGACTGGCTCAGATACCACGAAAGTTCCTCTACACGTTCATTTCCAGCGAAGTAGCAGTTGAATTGCGCAGCTGAAATGAAACATAATTTTGTTCTGGAATTTACAGCGCTATAAAAGGGTCTTTCCAAAACCCGGCCAAGTACGACTCTAGCCAGAGAATTAAGCTTTCGAATGATTGATACTTCTACGAAAACTTCTTGTCCACCGAGAGGGGTCATTTCTTCATCTTGTCCCCTTGTAACGTTGTAACCGAAAAGAGTCTGAAGGGATATGTTTAGGCCAAATACATGCCTAAATAGGTATTGAAGCATTCAGGAAAAAAAATTCTGTAAGTAACCTGTTTGTGTAAAATTTCTGCAAGCAGAAGAGCGTATTCCATGTTTGATCCTGATGGTCCATGGCTATGAATTATCTAGAGAGAAGCATTCAAAAACAAAATCATTTAGCAAAAATCGAAAGAAAATCGTACAGTTTGACAAATGACTTCAACATCACTCGGCCCTGCATAGTGTAGTTTATCGCCATGCGATATATAGGCCTAAATATGAAATGAGTGCAAAACGTAGTGACTTTTACTCATTTTCCTCAGTCAAACAGAGAATTATCCGTTTGCAGGCACTTAGACCGAAACGGAGGAATAAGGCCACATTTCACCGAATTTCTGAAACTAAACAGATCTTAAGAAAAGCATACATCTCACCTCCACCTCGAACGGTTTCACCGATGTGTCATCTGGTTTGAACATAACCTTCATCAACTGAAAGAACGTTTTTACTAGTCGGCTATCACTCCAGCATTATTATGAATAGTGAAAATCTTTGAGTGATATCAGAAGAGATACAATCGCCGACAACACCCTTTTCTAAAATGCTTAGTTAAAGCAAATCTTCCAAACACGCTACCAAAATTGCCTCATAATCGTTCCGCCTGGCCAAATCTCATTTATAAGAAAGGTTAATTATTAGAGAAGCAGAGATAGTCTTGATCGCGCATTTGGAAAGTAACTGTGCATATTGTTCTTTGCATTCCGCCCGGGTTTGTGAGCCATACCTACGACTAGTCCCAATCCGGGGACAAGGTCCTTTTCCAAGAAAGGTCAGTGGAGCACCTGAAGTGTGGTTTGGAGCTCATGAAAAGCTCAACTGCACCGATTTACTCCAAATAGTTCTGGAGGAGGACAAGGAGAAGAAGACGAAGAAGGAGAAGGAGGGAGGGAGGGCGCGGTATCGCCATCTTGGACACAATTCTATGTCACAAATGTTAGTGTGTTACAGTCGATTGTAGACTCTTACAGCTCGTTAAGAATTTATTTATTATTCAGTAGGAGTTTCTTGGCTTTATACAACCTGCATGACCACGTGACTAAACTTATGGCCTTTATCAGGGCGATACAAGTGAGAGAAGTCGAATCCAATGATGTTCAGTGGTATACAAAGATCTAAAACGCGGACGATAACCACACCCGTGCCTTACCCCTTCTGGGGGTGCGCTACCACCATACCACCGAGGTCACGGGTCGGCTATGACTTTTTCTTCGCTCGCTATTATAACACACCTTTTACAACTGTAATCCACTTAAACGAACACCTTGCTACTAAGCGAAGCGATATTAGATTTCCCCGAATGTGGAAAGTTATAGCACAACAGGAACCATGTGGTTAGCACTCACACCCGGAAAGAGTGCGACGAGGGTTCAAAGTTTTGCTTATCACTCAATATTACAGAGTCGTGAGGACATTTCATCTCGCTAAGTCATGCTCGGTAACCTTGCTTCCCTATATAATCTCCAAGGTTTCGCCACTTTCGACATAAAAATTCAAGACTGAATGACCTCACAGGCACCTCCGGTTGGGTCGATGCGTTGAGTAATACATTCTACATGGATTTTGACACACATTTTGAACCATTTCGGGACCTTTACCCACGGGCTCTGCATCTCTGGCTGGCAACTCCGAATGGTCTACTCCACCTCCTCCGATCTCTAGCCATCAGCGAACCATTCTTTGAGGCAGCACGCTGGAGATCAGATATGCGGAGGACGTGGAGCAGACCGTCCAGAGTTGTCGACAAGAGATGTGGTCGTGGGCACATGGTTCCGAAAGGGTCAACACACATCTTAGCTACCTTACCTCAAGATCTGAGGGGAATAATAATCAATTATCAGTCGAAAAATGGAATAAAATGATAAGTTTCTTGAAACTTACAGAGTATCCAGCTTTCTCACGCATATCCAAATATTCTCGAGTAGCATGTACATTCTCTTCGGCCACCTTGAAGGCTATTCCCCAGCAAACCGACTGAAATTAAGCATATACATGTACACACAGATGGACTAAGTAAATCATGAGTAAATGGTTAGAATGCAAACAAATCAGAACAAAACTCACATGGGCATCTGGTACCAATGTCACTGTGCGACCAGGCTGCAATATAAAAGGTTATGAAGAATGACGGTGACCTGTTGACCTGTACCACCCGATGATCAGGTAATGACTTTCAAAACTCAAAAAGTTCATAAAATTCCTAAGAAGCTTTGGGCGTTGATCAATCCCTAAGGCATGTGCCATGAATTTGCCTCCATCCGTAGCATCACTAGAGGAAATCAAATGCACATCTGGCCTTTATAATCACGCGCGGTGGACCACCGATGGATGTATCAATTCATTCTGCTATCCTCCCAGATAAGTCAGGTACCAACTCACCGACCCTGGACGGATAGAAGGCTTGCTTCCCTGGGCGGAGGATCGTACAATTGACTGCGAGTGTCTCTCGGAGCACCTCTAACCACGGCGTCACACGCGCTCCAAAAGTTCATAGAAATATGTAATTTCATTTCATCATGACTGCGCAACCAGGCACACCCTTTCCAGATGCCCCATCTATGCAACACGCATGCGCAACGAAGTAAATATGAAAAAAAAACCACTTTAAGGGAATAAGTGCTCAAGTGGTGCTGTAGTTAGTAGGTGCCCTGGAGAGGGGGAAAGACGTGTTCAAATCCCCTCCGAGGTTCAACGTCCTGCATATCAATCAACATCTTGGGGATGCCTCACAATCGTTTGACTCTGGAACGTGAATTAGAAACTCCTCAAGTGCTCAGAATTCTAACAGAATCTCCTGAAATACAGCGTATAAAGCGCATGTGGCAGCTCTATTAAATTGACCCATTTGGAGAGTGGACTCGCTGTTTCTGCATATCTAACTGGCAACTATGAACGCTCTGCTCCACCTCCACTGATCTCTGAACCCCAGCGCGCCACTGTTGAATGCACTACGCAGGGTGTCAGAGTCACAGAGGAGGTGGAGCAGACCGCGCAGAGTTGCCGGTCACAAATGTAGAGATTGTGATCCATGGCCTGCCGCAATGACTAATTAGCAGACATCCTATCATGAGATTTCAGTAGTAGCCGACACTGATGACGTAGAAGAAAAAGATTCCCTGAAGCTTTTGAAAAAAATAAGGCCGATTAGAACCTTTTCTGGAGTGCCACGATGGTCAGGACTCAACTGCCAGAATCTTCTTGCATAGCCTTTCA